GGAAGCAATCTAACACTTACGTAAGCTTTATTGCTAAAGATAGCTACGAAACCGATTTAAGAGTTAAAGTTAGCGTTGTTAGCAAACGCTCCGTTTACGAACACAAAGAGCATCGTTGTCCTTAAGTCTAAAAGCACGTAATAAATCTTTCGTATTAAGTGATCGATCAGCTACTAGATCACTTTATTAAAGGCTTTGTAATCCTCGTTCTTCGGTTCTTAATGCTAAGCAGCTATCGATAAAGCGCAAGATGCTTTTAAGTAGCAAATGATAACTAAATACGCTCTTCGAGCACGTTATTTTAAATACTCTTTAGCCCGTGTAGTTGAGTCAAGCTTGATTACGGCAAGCCTTTCACCTTGCTCTTTTTGCTTAATTAACAGTCCGAACCCGTCTTTATTCAAAGATAGCTTGCATCTATTGAAAATTATCGGTTCGGCGTATGTGAAAGTCTTTATTTCTTTGCTTTTTAGCTTAGATTTGATCAACTCTTTCTCTTCTTTTGCTTTTATAGCTCGATTAACAATTATAAGAATATTATTCGTTTGCAAAGCAGCTATTTTTAACTGATCTTTATTAGTTAATATAAAAAAGCAAAAGTTAAAGCTCGATTGCTTTATATTAAAGTTGTTTATAAAATGCTCGGAAAAACGCTTATACTAGTGCGTCTTTGCTTCGGAGATACCGTATAAAAGGCTAGTTATAAAGAATAAAGTGCCGAAAGGAAATCGATAAGTGATCTTTTTAAGTGGTCGCACGACGATTATCTATATAAGCTTCGTGCTTGATTAAGTGTAAGCTTGCGTAATATCTTTATTATAAACTTAGCACTCGTAGTCTTTTATTAAAGAAAAAGCTAAAGTATAACAAAGTCTTTGGCCCGCTCGCTGCACCGTAAGTAATTCGATAAAAACTTTCGTTTTGCTTTTGTCTTAAAAAGCTTAAACTATTATACGAGACTTTTTGTGACGACACGCCAGGTCTCCTGGACGCACCTTATATGCGCCAAGCTACTTCCTTCCTTTTTTCCTTCGTATTCTTCGTATTCTCTTATTCCCCGCTTTTAACCCATGAACTATAATTCACGAGTCTTTAGCGCTTTTACTTTCGTATATATAAACCTTAGCTACCTTCGACTTTTATACTCGATAGTTGTTGATTTTAAGTTATTACTTTAAGATTCTCTTAAGCTTTTATATGAACCTTCGCGCTCTCGTAAGTTCTTTCAAGTAATCGCTTAAGGTCGTCATATTATCAATAACTACTTTACTCCGCCGAGAACGGCTTTAATAATATTCTTCTTTTTTAGAATTCTTTAGTAGTTAGACGTCAAAACACTCAAACGATTCTAACGGTCACGAGAAAGCTTATTTTAAGTATAACTTAAAGGATAGCACTTACATAATATAACAACCTTCGCCTCGCGAGCAAAATCTTTCGCACACTTTTTAAAGCTGCTTTAACAGCTCTTTCTTCTTCTTCTACGGCCCAACTAATAATTCCTTCTACTCAAAAAGAAGCTATTAGTAAGCAAGACGACGAAAATAATCTTTCGGCCTTTACTAACCCCGAAAAAGCTTTAGCCTAACATTAAGCTTTCTTTTAGTCTTAACGAAAGGCCGTTAAGCTTAGAAAGCTCTTCGCAAACATAAAAACCCGTAACGAAGAGCTCGATAAAAGCGCTAGCAAACAAAAAACCTTCGTTAAAAAAGCTGAAAAAAAGGCTCGTCGAGCTCGAAAAGAACTAGACTAGCTCTAAGCGGTCTTACTAACTACGGAACGCTCGTCAAAGCTTTTTTAAGTCTTTTTCGAAGATAATTTTAAAAGCAAAAAGCTATACAAGCTTTCGGTCTTTTAAACTACTCCTTTTACTTATAGAACCGCTAACTTTCGCCGCCTTTTCGTCGACGACGAAAAACCACTTTTTCTTTACAAGCTAACCAACCTTCGCACTCTAGCTAAGTTTAATACCTTTAAAGCCTTATCTTTAGCTTTTTAAAGTCGGGCTCGTATTAAGCGAATCCTTAATTTTAAACAAAAGCTTTTAAACGGTATAAGCTATCGAACACGCTATTAGTAAGCCCGCGTCTTCGACAACTTAAAAGCTTTCGAAGAATACTTCTTTATAAAACGCTAACGTAAGAACTACGTCCTTAATCAAACCGAAAAAACAGCTTACTTGTTCTTAGCCTTTTTAGTTATAAATCGTAGCAACTTCGTAACCGCTCCGAAGCTCGTTTAAATCGCTTTCGAATTCTTGAACGACTTCGCTGAAAAAGCTAAAGCGTTAATTAAGTTCGAAAAACTTTATATAAAGCTTAACTAGCAATTCTAAGACTTTTACTTTATTTTCTTAAAGCTTACCGTTACCGCCGAAATCAAAGACGAAGACCGATTACGTAAGGCCTTGCGTTTTAAGATTATTAAAACGCTGCGCGACCAGCTCTATTTAGAATTTGCTAAGATTACAATTTTTAAAGACTTTTAGACCGCTGTTTAACAATTAGCTGCTAGCTAATACGCGTCTACAAAGCTTTACGATGCTTTACAAGCTAAGTATAATACTTAATTCGCGAAGAGCTTTTATAATAAAGCTCGTAACGAATCTCGCTCGGCTTAAAGAGTAGCGGTCAAGCAAATCACTTATTACGAGAACCGCTAAAATAGCTTAACCTCCGTCTCTTTTTCTATTTCTTAGCGCTAAACCTTTAATAGCTTTAGCGTTAATATAAATCGATTTAATCGATTTAATAAATTCTTTTCTTTCGGAAACGCTTTTAAATCAACAATCAAGACTCTTAAATCGTCTCGCAAAGTCTCGAATACGCCGAAGCTCTTTCGCTATTATTTAATCAACGAAATAGAATACAGCGCTAGACTCGAATATAGCTTTTATTCAAATAACTCGAACGATAAGCTTTACTTCGATGCTCTTAAAGATTACTAAAAGCTTTTTCTTGCTAACTTCGACGCTCTCGATAATAAAAGAAACGTCGAAGCTTAAGCAAAGCTTTTTTCTTAAGCTAGCTTCGAGATATACGATACTTCGACCTTACGAAGCTTTTTAGTAATAAAGCTATGATTATACCCGTCACTTTCATTAAGAATAACTTTTCGTATAAAGTATTTACTTTGCTCGACTTAAAAGCTAATAAATACGCGCTGATTGACTTAGCGCTACTCAAATCATTTTCTTTCTTTTTTAAGCCTTTAATTCAACCTTTCTCGGCCTTATTTCTTGTCAAATCATACAATAAAGCTCGTAAAGCTATTATTTCACATTTTGCACTTCTTAACTTTACGGTTAATAAGCGCGTTTAATCTTTTACTCTTTTTCTTATTATTAACTTTAAAAATCATAGCGTGATCTTCGGACGAGCTTAATTAACTAAGCATTAAATTCTCTTTAACTGCGCTCGCTATAAGCTTTATTAGCTTCGTTCCAACCTTCCGACCGTTATTTACGCTAAATTTATTAAGATTATACACTTTAATTAGCGTAAAGTAAACGCTCGTCATTAACACGACGCTAACAAGCGTAATCGAGCCTTAGATCGCTTTTAAAAAGCTTACGACGCTAATTCATCCGTAAATTATAATTCACGAGCGGATTAAGTAGCAACGATAATCGCAAAATCACTTTTTTCTTTTCGGAATCGTCTTCTTTTCGCTTTTTCTTTTAAAATCGTTAAACCTCTTTCTTTTATTCACCTTCTCGTAAAGCCGTCACTCTTTCGCTTTACGAAAAACACTTTTTTTAAAAACTACGCTAAATTAATATCTTAAATAAACCGTAAGCTTATATCAATCGATATCGCTTTCGTAAAACCTCTTTTACTCGTTAAACGCTTTCGCTAAATATCTAAGTACAAAATCAATAGAAACTTTAAAATCAACGGCGTCTTTAAACACGCTTTTTATATAATCGCTCGCTAAAAAAACGTAAAACTATTTTTTACGTCTTTTTACGAGCTCGATTATTTAATCTCCGAGCGTCAAACGATTGCTTTTACTTAAGCTGATTATTAAGCAATGCTAACACGCTTTATTAACGGCTCTATTTCTACTATTGACTTTACAGCGGAACTATCAAAGCTTATTAACGACTTTCTTATTCTTTTCGAGTACTTCGATTACGCATACGTGTTCTTTAAAGCCGTTAACAACGTATTAATATTATACAAGCTTTACGATTACAAAATCGAGCTTTTCGAAAGAAAAGAGAAAGCGCTTCGGTATTCACTATTATACAAGATGTCGATCCTTAAGCTAAAGCTTATTAAAGCTTACTTTATCGACAATCTTAATAAAGGTTTTATCGAACCTTTAACAACGCTATTTATAGCTCTAGTCTTTTTTGCTAAAAAGCAAAACGGTTCTTTCCGCTTTTATATTAACTTCCGCGCGCTAAACAACTTCACTCGTAAAGATCGATACCTTTTTTTTTTAATCGATAAGACCTTCGCACGTCTTTTAAGAGTTAAAATCTTTACGAAACTCGATATTCGGCAAGCTTTTTATAAAATACGGATAGACTTAGCTTTCGAAAAGCTTATAACATTTAAAACACGCTACGGTGCTTACAAGTGCAAAGTTCTTTTATTCGGACTGATTAATAAACTCGCTATTTATTAACGTTATATGAATGACCTCTTCTTCGACTTCTTAAATATTTTTTGCACGGCATATTTAAACGATATCTTGATCTACTCTTTCGACCTTTTAAAGCACGCTAGCTACGTCCGTTAAGTTCTTTAACGACTCGATAACGCTAACCTTTAAGCTAATATTAAAAAGTGCGAATTCAATATTATTAAAGTAAAATACTTAAGCTTTATTATTTTTATCGAAAGCTTAAAAGTAGATCCGAACAAGACTTCGATAATAAAGCATTAAGCGCTTTTTACAACCGTTAAAAGCGTTTAAAGCTTTTTTAGATTTTGCAACTTTTACCGCCGATTCATTCGAGACTACGGCGTAATCGCAAAGCTTTTAATATACTTAACTAAAGCTAACGTTCTTTTTTTATTCAATTCTTAATGCTAAAAGAGCTTCGACCTTTTAAAGCTCGCTTTGACTATTACGCTAATCTTATAATATTATAACTAAAACCTCTTTTATATGC